TAACCCCTGCTGCAGCCATGAAGCCTGCCAGCTGTCAAGGAGATAGGTGCAGGGCTTCTGGGTTCCAAGGCCCTGCACTTCTAGCTGCTGACAGACAAAACTCATGACATGGGTGCTTGTGCAACTGACTGTCTCTGTCTTGGGGCAGTTGATTGTCTGTATTGATTCCTTTCTCTCCTTAGTCTCTGGTTTTGTAGGTGTTAATTGATGATAATTAACTGTTACATTAGCTAGCAACTGGATTGAGCTGGCTCCTGGGTGAATCATGATTAATTGGTAACTGGTAATGCAGTAGCTTAGCAGCCAGGCCTGCAGTACTCGTCGTCCCGTGTCCCCCCAAGACAGACACAGTTGCACAAGCACCCATGTCACGAATTTTACCTACCTGTGACCAGAGGTGCAGGGTCCCAGAACCCAGAAGCCCTGCACTGATCTCCTCGACAGCTGGCAGGCATCATGGCCACAGCAGGGGCTACCAACCCTGCAGCTTTCACTCTCCTGTGCCTTAACACACAGAGTATCACCCATGTCACGAGTTTTGCTTGTCTGCAGCTTGAGGTGAGTTTCCCCCAAATCCCTGCACTTATCTCCTTGAAACTTGGCAGGCTTCATGGCCTGAGCAGAGACCACCACTCCTGCAGTTTATACCCCCTTGTGCTGTAACACAGACGTGACACGAGTTTTGCTTTCACAAATTTGGGGTGCAGTTCCCCCCGAACCCCTGCACCAATCTTCTTGAAACTTGGCAGGCTTCATGCTTTCAACAGAGGATACAACCCCGGCAAATTTCATCCAAATCAGACAAAAAACCACGAAGTTATAGATATTTAATTGTTTCCCCATTATACCCTATGGCCAGATCACCGAAGCGGCTCCAAAGCTTTTCTGAAGCGCTTCAGAAACTCTGAACCACTTCGGAAAGCCTAACAAAGCCAGCGCTTCAATCCAGACATGCTGATTCGGATGCTAAAGTGCCCAAAGCTTTTCCAGATCCGAAGCACAGTCCACAGCCTCGCACAGCCCTACTGCAGCCCCCCACTGTAGGCCCCCTCCCAGCACCACTGCCACCTGCCCCAAGCACAGCTTGACCCAGCCCTTGCTGGAAAAAGCTTGGCGCCACTCCCGAGCACAGCTCACAGCAGCAGCCCACCCTGCACACAGATCCAGGGGCAGATGCCCCCCATGCCCTCCCAGGGTGCATGCAATGGGGGGAGCTGAACCCCCCCAGATGAGCTGCTTGCGGCTCCATCCCCTGCCCTGCCCCTGCTGTGCAGCACCTGCCCCTGTCCCATTCCCTCCCTCACCACGGGGGCCTCAATCTGCGGCCCCCCCCTTCCCCCTTAGACTTACCAACCAGACACCAGTCTCCAAGCTGCCTGACTGCATATTGGCCGATACCAATCCAATTCTGATATGACTCGTTAAAAATCAGCCATCAGTATTGGCCCCAAAATTATCTGTGCACCCCTCCTTATTTCAGCAAATGTTAGCTAGCATTTCTGCTCATCTGAAAAACTGTGATGAAACAAACATCAGTCAAGACCAGAAATGGAGGGTGGAGGAAACAGCCACAGTAACTCAGTGATTAGTCCTGCTGAGTGGCTACTAGAAGCCTTCACATTTATGGCTGTTTTAGTTTGAAGAATGAAGTTAGTTGGACAAGCTCAGCATACTTCATACTAGCATCACAGATTCTCTTACCAGGATGTAGTCAGCCCACATGTCCCGGGCAGATTTCAAGGCTGCCTGTCTGAGCTTCATCACATGCTCATAGCGAGAATTTGACCAGTGCTTTGGGCCTTCCTCATCCAGGTATGACCTGCCAGAGGTTCAAGTGCGGTTAAAGTTCCAGTCGGATTCAACCCACCCCCTTATTCTCCTTTCTGAAAATAACTATGCAAGATGAGAATACAGAACTAAAAAGGTACAGTAGGATTGAGCTCAGGAGGAGGTGAAAAGGGAGTATCTGCAGGATGCACTCCATCCTGCTTTAGCAACACACCAGTCCAGGAGGCTTTTTAAACCAAGGCACTAACAGTCACCCTGCGTGGTTTTTTTTTTTTTTTTTTTTTTTTTTTTTTTTTTTTGGAAAAAAAATAAAAAAAAAAAAAAAAAAAAACCACGCCGGGCGGGGGGGGGGGGGGGGGCCCCCCCCCCCCCCCCCGCCCGGCGTGGTTTTTTTTTTTTTTTTTTTTTTTTTTTTTTTTTACAGTTTTTCCATACAGAGCAGCAACAAGTAGCAGCCCCTCTCACGCCTTTGTAAAGGTTCCCAATACATTACAGGAAAGGGAAGCCACTCAGTATAGAGGCATGATCTTTCTCCTACCTCCTACACAATTACACCCTAGATTAAGATATCCTCAACACTCAGAAGAATCCACTACCTTCACCCAGCTAGCATGGGAACGTTTCTGAACGCCTGTTGGATCTGCAATCACAGCTAAGCCAATCTCACCACACACAGTGACTTCTATCACTGGTCTGCCCTGACCTTCTCTCCAGAAGACTGCTCCCAAGTGACCCCTCTCAAGACAGCAAAACCAAATAAAGCAAGATCTCATTCCATCTCCTCAGTGCCAGCAGTTTCTGAAAGGGTAAATACAAATATTTTTCTGATGTACAAAGGTTAGAGCAGTGCCAAGGTGACAAGGGACAGCATCTGCAGATTGGCCATGTTCCACATTTTTCAGCCAGGCAGATGTGCAAGGCTGTAGAGCCAGGATGCCTTCCGGCTGTCAGAAGCCCAGAGCAGGCTGACTTGCCTCCAAAAAACAAGTCCTGTGTTAGCAAACTACCTTCTAGTTGCTGACACTCACTCACACTGGCTTGCAGAGGGACAAGCAGTAGGCAGCACGCCAGTTAGAGGTACGCGTCTGTAGAATCAGGGAGGGAACTGGTATGGAGATGACGAGGACAGCAATGGCTGGGAAGGGGTCAGGGCAGTGCTGAGAATGGGGAGATAAGAATCAGTTGTTGACCCATGTGCTCCTAAGGACTTCATGGGGTGAAGAAACAGATTGTACAACATGAAAAGTAGTCACCACATGCCTCAAGGCAAGGATACCCGTCACTGAGCACACAACCCCATCAGCTCTCCAGCCGTACAAGGACCCACCAGATCTTTCCCAATCCCTGCCCTCCCCCACAACCCAGAGGTTAGCCTCACCTTTACCCAAGCCTTCAGCCTTGCATTTACCCTATTATCCAGGAAATCAATGACCCGGAGCAGTTCCCCCCAGAATTCACTGGGGGCACCTCACCTGGGCTCCTCCATCGGCCTCCACTCCACGTGGTGATAGAGGCTCTGCACACGGATCAGCCATTCCCGCAGCACGGCCGTTGTGTTGTCAACGTTGTGGTCTGTTGCCACCCTGCAGACACCCAGCAGCGACTCACCGCAACGCAGCCGGCTTCCCAACCTCCCCCGCGCTCCGCGCAGGGATGGGAGCGCGCCTCAGAGCTCCCCTCTTCTTCCGGGCGCCTGCCAGCCCTACCTTGCCATGCCCTGGCCCCCTCAACACGCAGGGATGCTGCGTCTCCTCCCCCATCACCACTGCCAGGTTTGCCAGGGCCCAGGACCCGCCGGGCCGGGCCGCCCCCAAGACGGCTCCCTCCCTCCCTCCGCCCCGGGAAACCTGGCCGGAACCAGGAGCAACCTTCAGGCCCTTCCGGCTGCCCCGTGGCAGGAAAAGCTTCCTCCCCGGCGTGTCTGTGGCCCGGACACCAGGCGCCTGAGCTGCTGCTGCAGCCCTCGTGCGGCGCGGGAGGCCCAGGGCGAGGGCCCAGCCACTTGGGGGCCCGGGGCTGGACGGGGAGCAGTCCCAGGCGGGCCACGGGACCCCGACGGGGAGCGGGGCCCGGGCTCTTATCTCACCACAGAGCGGCGCGCGCCTTGGGGTGCCGCAGCCGCTCGAGGGCGCCCAGCACGGCGGGCAGCGCGTGCGCCGCGTTGCGGGCCAGCAGGGCGATGAGCACGCGCGGCGCCTGCAGCGGCGACTCGGGGCTCCAGCGCTCCTCGGGGAAGTAGGCGGCGGCGGGGCCCGGGCCCGGCTGGAGCGGCGGCAGGAGCAGCAGCAGCGCGAGGCGGGCGACCGCCGCCATAGCGCGTCCGAGCGGCCCGCACACGGGTGCCCTCCGACGGGAACTAAGGCTTAAAGGGGAAGCGCGGGCGGGCCGGGCCCGGCCCAGCGGCCCCGCTCCCACCCCGTGGGTGTGTCGACGCCCCTTTAAGGCTGCTCTTCTACTCCGACCGGCAGGCGGCCTTAAAGGGAAGGTCCCGGCGGCTCGTGCAGATCCCTCCTCACCCCGCAGTCCCGGGGCGGTGGCGGGCCCCGCGCCGTTGCGGGGGGCCTCGGCCGAGCACGTGCAGAGCCTGTCAAGGGCCAGCAGGCAGCCCCTTGGAGGAGCGGGGCGGCCAAGCTCCGCCCCGTGCCCCTGACACCCCAGTCCCAGCTGCTCTCCCGGGACCCCGGAGGGGATCAGGTTTCTTTTCCACATCCCACCCGTCACTCCACCCGCTAGCAAAGCCCCGTCCCGGCCAGCTCTCCCTCTGCACCTCCTGTGCCTCCGCGTGAGGCACAGGGGCAGGTAGTCAGCACGGAAAGGGGGCCCAGCGTCACGTGAGGGTATCGGAGATGAAACCTAACTACAGAATTCAGTCCATTCCCTCAATTGCTTTTCCAGAACATTTGTAATGGGAGCAGCTTACAAAACGCCACGCTGAGCACACACCTTGCCACAAAGACCTCCAGCGTCATCACTTACAAGCAGAAAGAAAAGCCACAAAGGGGGTCAAGGGAGAGGATGGGGAGCTTGGGGCCCTTGTAGCAGCCTGATATACAGGCAGGCCTTGACTTCCAACATTTCAAGTTAGGGTGTACATTTATAAACGTGGTGTTTCAACTTTACAACGCTCGATCTGACGCAATGCCACACCAGCAAACAAGTTCGCTATGTTGCCGGTGTCCCTGGAGACCATCTATCCAAACTTGCTTGGACACCTTCTTTAAGAAAGCAGACGACTCCTGAGAAGACTCCAGCTAAGAGCCCTTCAAAAAGTCCAGCAAAGTCACCTCAGAGAAGTCCTTCCAAATCAATATGATTGCTATTTACAATATAAATGTGTTAATATAGCTGTATTATTCATCTATAATTGACTGAGTACAAAATTCTGGGTTATTTTTGGTGAAAATAAGGCATCAGGCCTTGGTTCAGGAACCAATCCCCATTTATAACATTGTTTCCTATGGGGAACAATGGTTCTGAGTTACAATGTTTTGACTTAAAACACAATCGGTTCCTGAAAACTGCATCTTAAGTCTGAGGACTGCCTGTGCATCATACAACATGAGCATTACATGCCTTGGGGAGTCCATTCCTTTCTACTTCCACAGCTTCTCAATTTATGTTGCTTGGAGAAGCACGCTCAAACTTCATGCTCTTTCAGCTCCGAGGATGAAAATAGCTGCATCTCCTCTTAAAGAGTTGGTCAGTGCTACATACAGATACTCCAGCAGACGACCTGCAGCTACCATGCCACTGGCTAAAGGTCCAGAAGTTTCTCATCCGGTAGAGGTGTTGGCACATGGGGTGAGAAGGCCACATGGCCTGCAGTCCCCTCTATGTTTTCCTTTGCCCCGGGGGTCTCAATTCCTTGTTGATGTGGGGATGTGAAGAATTCACCTCATGTCAGGAAAGCTGAATGTGTCAGGTTTTTTCATTTCTCTGCAGCATGCCGGTTATTGCCAGTTAAATCTGACTCTGTACTTAGATTTCAGAGGCACTGTCTGTTGGCAACAATTTTTCTGGTTTCTTATCTTCAAGATCCATTTCTAGCAGACCTGCTTGGAATACTTCCATTTCAATGGCTATGGACAGGCTCTCAAGAAACACAGTCCTATCTGTCTCGCTGAAGTCTGCCTGTAGCATTCGCTCTTCATTCTCCTCCAGGGGCTGAGAGATCTTGCAAGCTCTCTCTCTAGCTTCTTTGGGCTCAGGGATGAGGGTCCTTTGCACATCTTCATATCTCAAGCTCCCAGTGACTAAAAGGGCACTAGAGTTGCTTTTGATCTGCCCATCCATATCCCCATGATTCTTGAATGCCTGCTGGGCATTTTTGGCTATTTCCAGATTTATTGCAGGAGGCGTCTCTGGAGTGTAGGATTCTTCATGGATCATTTCATCACTGCGCACTTGCAGCTGTTGTGAGTGAGTTACATCTCCCGTTCCTTTCACAGGAAATGGGCACAGATGGGTCATTTGTCCATTACAAACTTCTCCCTTGCTGGATTCACCTTTGTCCACTATCTTTGTACCAACTTCCCAACCACACTGATCTTTTCCTGCTCTGCCTCTCTCCCATTGAATTGATGCCATATGACTTGTTGCTGTTCTATGTAATTTTCCATTGGTTAAATTTCCATCTTCTCTATTGGCTTCTCTGGCCAAATCTGTAACCTGCACTGAAGTGGACTCAAGCCAATTGGTGTCCCAAGATTTGCCAGACTGTGCAGTTTCTGATGCTGGGTGGTTCCTGGCTGAGGGTGTATTTCTACCCACAGGGCAGTCACCACATTCCATGCAGAGATCTAGGTCCTGCACTAATCCTCCATATATTTGTTTTTTCTCAGAAATGCTGTTCTTACTACTCTGTCCTAAGTCTTTATTCCAAGCTAGATTACATGCTGAATCTTCCGTATGCCTCTGACTTCCCTGATCTACTTTCCCCCATTCCTCTTGCAAGTTCTCTGCTACACATTTGTCTGCAAAACATTCCTTTGTGAAGTCTGGTTCTTGCAGGTCTTTGGTGCCTGTAGAAGAGGTCCATGACTTGTCATTATATTTGTTTTTATTCAGGTTATCCATCTTGGCATTGTTTTCACTCTGCATGTCTGGGCCAAAGACCTGGTTTCTCCAATTCCTGTCATCAGGCAACACACACAAAGATTTTTCTGCTGTACAGAGCGCCTCTGTGGAAACCTGTAGGCAGATCTGGTCTTCATCTTTTGGAAAGTTTGCAACCCAACCACAGCCTCCTTCATATTCCCACTCTCGCACGTCTAACACAGTTTCTCTGACATGAAAGGGGATAGGGGTCACAATGTCTGATGGAGCACTACCACCTTCGACTCCTGTCCTCATTTCAGAGGCTGCATCCCGCTGCAGGTTGTCCACACTGTCCGGAACACAGGAGAAGCTGTCACTGTAAAGATTGTGTCTGTTCTGACTGGAGGCTTTTTTCAGGGCTGAAACAAGGAACAGTAAAAAGTGAGAGAAATACCAAATCTTTCTCCACTCTCTCTCTTTGCTCCCACTCCACTGCATACAACCCTATGTGTGGCTCCTTTTCCTGTACACATGCCTACATGATATTTTGTTTATCTTGTATGATAGAGCTTGAGTACTCACTGCTCAACATTTTCTTTTCTAACAGGAAAGTTAGGCTGTCACATGGCACAGCCACAACAGGCTCATCCTTCACAAAAGCAGATTTTAAGAAACTTAAAATGGTCTTTGGGACTGGTTTGTTCAGAGGAGCCAATGCAAGCAGATGGGCCAGAGACTTGGCTCTAAAATGAGCACAATTAATGAGGCGGCTTTAGCATAAAAGCTCTTCTATTTAATGTTAAAAACACAAAAGTAACTAATATGCAGCCTTCCAATGACATCATGGCTGTAAAATGGGATTTATTTCCACACTAGCCAGTGAGAAGTTTTGTTGCTCCAGGCAACAGGAGAGAAAAAAAAAAGAGTGCAGATTGGCAGAAGTAAGATATTTCAACATTGGAATCCTGGAACCAACCACAGACAACATCTGGAAAATGTTTTGAATAGGAAAACATGAAACTCACTATGTAATGCCTTTTTAAAAAATAGCCATACGGCAGAAAGAATATTACAGATTAGCTTCTGTAAACATTTTAGTTAGTATAATCTATCCTCTCTTTAGCAGAGAGTACAGCACCAAACAGGGCTGAGTTTGGTCTGTTACAGATTGTTAAGGTGGAATCCATTTCCTTACCTTTGCTGACTGCCTCCATCAATATAGCCAGAACCATTTCTTCATAAATATTTTCAACGTTTATGATGTCACTGAAGTCAGCAAACACGTAACTTTCATACTTGGGCAGCTTCTACCAAAGCAGGTAGGAAAAAGGGAAGTCAGCCAGTGTCAGTAACAGATACATGTCAGAGAGACAGTCAGGGCCAGTCTTTGGTCAGACAGCACCTGAGTTGAGCCAAAATATGCCCCACTGTTTTGGAAGATAAATGTTTGCATTTAATTCTGATCATACTCTGTAGTTTCTGTAACTTAACTTGATTATCCAGTCACTAATGCTGGCCCTACATGTATAACATGCCATGCTTATTTACAACCTTCACAAGGATGGTGGAGATTTCGTGGTTAGCAATCAAAATGGGAGGTATTTACATGAGACAGTTCAGACTCCACAGAAGTCGGGAGGGATAACTGAGCTAGGCTCAAGACTCCTCATACAAGACACTGCATCAGACTGGTGGTGGTGAAGGTAAAGGTTAAAAATGTTGGGAAATTACCATTAGCCTGTATGTGTTATAGAATCATAGAAAATTAGGGTTGGAAGGGACCTCAGGAGGTCATCTAGTCCAGCCCTTTACTGAAAGCAGGACCATCCCCAATGAGATCATTCCAGCCAAAGTTTTGTCAAGCCAGACCTTAAAAACCTCCAAGGATGGAGATCCACCACCCCTCTAGGTAATCCATTCCAGTGCTTTACCACCTTCCTAGTGAGAAAGTTTTTCCTAATAACCAACTTAAATTTCCCTTGATGCAACTCGAGACCATTGCTCTTCATGTTGTCTTGCACCACTGAGAACAGTCCAGGTCCATCCTCTTCGGAACCCCCCTTCAGGTAATTGAAGTCTGCTATTAAATCCCCCTTCAGTCTATTTTTCTGCAGACTAAATAAGCCCAGTTCCTTCAGCCTCTCCTCACAAGTCATGTGCCCCAGACTCTGAACCATTTTCATTGCGCTTCACTGGACTCTCTCCAACTTGTCTACATCCTTCCTATAGTGGGGGGTGGGGGGGCAAAACTGGACACAATACTCCAGATGTTATGATATGAAACGAGTGGATTCCCATACATTTAGACAGAGTTTTGGCACTAAAGACCTGGTACGGTTGTTTAAAGCCTCCTCTCTCTTCAGTCCTGCCCACCAGTGTGGCTGTAAAGCTGTAGAGAGAGATGCTACTGGGAAGAGACTTCTCTTGTCAGCCTACTGAAATCTACTGGGCTGGGAAAGACTTTCTGAAGAACAGAATACAATCCGCTTGTATTAGCACCATCAGGTGACAGCTGAGGTCTGGGCCCCTTTCACCCTCTTTCAGATTCAGGCTCACCAATTTACACTGGGGCTCCAGGCTCTTCAGTAGAAAGGGAAGAAAGATCTGAAGCAGCCACTCCTGAGCAAACTGCTTCCGCATAGAGCTGCTGTCGTAATCAAATTTCTAAAAGGCAAGCACAACCACATTTAAGAAGGAATCTGTGCAGCAATGAGGTGCTTTCTTCAGAACACTGCTGTATCTGTTTCACCTGGGACAGCTCAGGGACTGTGATACATGGGGAGCATAGCAATCAAGGGTTCAAGCACAGCAGAAGAGCCACCAAGTGCTGTGTTAAATCTTAGCATAGAATCACAGAAAAAGATCTCCAGAGGTCATCTAACCCAACCGCGTGCTCAAAGCAGGATGCACCCTATCCAAACCACCCCATACAAGTCCTTGTCTAACCTATCCATAAAACTAAACAACAACCCTTCTGCATAACAATAAGGCATATTATCCAAAGACACCAAGAAGTACCCTAACCTGCCACAAGCAAAGCAGGGGGATGAGGGCTGTCAGTGTCCCTCAACTGCAAAATTTGTTAGAAGACTGTTGAGAGATCCCAAGAAAAGACAATCCCAAGCAACATCTGGAAACTTACCTTTAGCACCCGACCCTTGACCTTTTCTAGAACCTGAGTGATCTGGTTGCGGTTATTTGCCATGCTCAGGTGTTGCTCTGAAAGTTGCTGGAACGTATGGATCGAATTCTGCATCAGCTACAAAAGCAAGTCAGTTAAGTGAGCAGCAGATCCAGGATATTCAGAGTCCTGTAGTCAAAGCTCATTTCCACCTCTCCCTGCCTTCTGGGCAACCCAACCTGTTTTCTCAGCAATCTCTTTGAATCATGCAGATGCCCACGGGAACAAAGACACCATGAAAATATAGCTAAAAATAGACCATCTCTGAGACAGACATACAGGGAGTACCTGAACAGTTCTCTCTCCCATCTTCACTATGGATGACATGCTGGCCTCTCCCAAGTCTGTGCTCTCAGTTTCACCAGCTTACCTGCTGCATGAGGTTCTGAGCTCTGAGGACCAAACTGGTCATGCTGTAGAAGTTAAATCTCTCCTTCAGTCCCTGCAGGCTGTCTTTATAGAGTTCTGCCTTCTCGTAACAGAGATGCATGAATCCAGGGTTCTGGGATATTTTCCCAAGTGTGAGAAACTGTATCACAGGAGTGGAGAATTAGCTAAGTTGTGAACAGTGCCCAGGGTCTATAGTGATCTATGTAACTGCTAATTATTATCTGGGAATGGTCAGGATTAAGCAGTTATTCACTCCAAACCACTACAAAAAGGATGTCAAGTCTGACCCTTGTATTTGGAGCTGACTTTTGCTCACAGTATGTGCCCCAAAGCAATTCATGAACTGGTAGAAAAAATCCCCCCGTAATCTTTTAGAGAAGTTCAGATAACAAGTTTTTCTCTAAAGCTGCTTCTCTTTATTAGGCTACATCTGTGGTGTTGGAGTAAGAGTCAAACCATGATGTAGCAACAATTGGATCACAGGAGCACACTGACTTCACAGTTCAGAATATAAGCTTTTACAAACAGTCAGAAAGAGTATAGTGCAATCGGGAGAATACACCTGAAGCTTCCTGAGCTGGCTACTGCTGGAGGCAGCATGCAAAAGTAGGTGGTCTATTTGCATTCCTGTGCCAATTAGACAGGTGGAATTCAGCTTCTATTCTCAGTGTAGAGAGTAGAGTGTGGGGTGCTGTGCAGGGGATGAAGAGAAAGCAGGCCCTCCTTTTACCAGCTTTACGTCAGGGACATTTTCTTTCAGATTCAGATCTGGCCACCACCAAGCCCAGACAACTCCCATGGACTCTACCTGAGGCTGCCCTTGAGGACCATCCAGAAGATGCAGCTGGTGCAGAACACAGCAGCCCACCTTCTGATGAGGGGTGGTTTTGCCAGGAGCACAGTACAGTCTACACTTTCCAGGGGCACTTCAAAGGTGTTGGTTTTGATTTTTAAAGCTCTAAATAGCTGGGCTCCTACATATCTAAGGGACTGTCTTGTCCCTTACATTCCATCACAATCCCTAAAATCATCTGAGAGCATCTTCCTGCAAGGTAGTACCATGTGTTCACCGAGCTTGTTTGGTGAAAACGCATGGAAAGCCACACTCAGTAGCTACTCTTCAAGCTTTTGAACTCTCTCCCTCTTGTGGCCCATCAGAGTCCAGGCCTGAACATCTTCTGGAAACAATACAAGACCCTCTTATTTGGGCAGACTTTTGGCAGACTGGGTTAAGTTTTGGGGCACTGTTTAGGGAGTCTGTTTAATATTTATTTTAATATTTTTTCTGTTTTTATAATTTATCGTATTTTATTCTGAGCTGCCGTGAGGGCAGCATATAAATCAAATAAAATCACCCATATCATACCTCCTTCTGCAAGGCAGAGGTCGAGGAGCTCTGGACAACCGTGATCATCTCATCAACTCTGTCCACAAAGCGTGAACGTACCATATCAAATCCTTGGCTGATCGGATGCATGAGCTCCTCCATCACGCAATCCAAGTCAGGCTCCACTTCCTGCCGACAGCAGGACTCTGCTGGGCTCTGCACCACAGCTGCCAAAAATCAAAATTCCTAAGTTTGTCCTAAAGAACTAGAATGGAATCCACACTGATCTGGATTCACTAAGCTAAAGCGCAAGACTACAGAACACACATCACAATATGATCTAAACATAAACACTGCAATGAGGATTCCTGTGGCAATGTTCAAACCAACTCTTCATAACAAATGCATTCCTACTCCAACTGCAATACTGCACAATTCTTAAAATTTCAAATAGAATTGAGAAAGTTAAAATGCCAAAGCAAAGACTACACTTTCACAGAATAAACACCACATGCCCTGGGTCTTTGCCCACTTTTCCTTCAACCTTGGAGTTTTCTGGATATCTGATCCTTTAAAGTCAGCATTTGATCCAGGTCAGGGCGAATCTTCTTCTCTAGCTGAATATGGAGTTTCTCTTTCTCCTTCTGAAAATCCAGGAATTCACTAGAAATCTGGCTGAGGACCAGCATGTAGACTTCCTCCAGGAACTGACCAGCCAAGTGGGGACCAGATGAAGAAAAAGAGAGATAAGAAGAAGGTAAAATTTAGCGTCTTCTTACAAGCCATGTGCAGTGATCAGGGGAACTATCGGGTGGTGCTGTTGTATGCAAGTTTATTGTTGGGTCACTGTGCTCACTGCTAACTAGCCCATTTTCTTCCCCCTATACATGGTAATACCCGAGTTTGTTGGGACTGATTGGACTAATCCAGAGCCACCTGGCCTAACTCAAAGGTCAACATAATCACTTCTTGGGACATCATCTTTTTCATCCACATGAAGCCATAAGCAGCAGATCACATGGCTATCACCTTCCAAATATTCTGGTTTACTTTTGCTGAATCCATTACAGCAAAGGCAACAGTTTTATAGGCATTATGAAAGGCAGACAGATTGTGGGGTGGGCAGTGGAACAGATCTTTGCTCTGAGGCAAAAAAGTTAAGCTTTATATATAAATTCTGCTTGGTCTCCCCAGTCATAGTCTCCAAAAAATTAAATGAGGCAGTGTTCCAGTATCAGAGGTGAGTATTGCCCCATGGACTTACTTGACACCAGGTCTGTCTCCTCCTGTTTTCTGACCCTTTGAGATTTGGAAGGACCTGAGACTGAAGCACTGGCAACAAATCCTCCACCAACACATTACTGAGAATCTAAACCCAAAAAAAAGGGTCATCTTAGACAAGCTACTTGCCAGCTATGTGCATGGTGCATATGACAGATCTTTGGTCTTGGAATTCTCAGTACTATACAAACCTCTGGTTCTGTTCCCAGGAGAAGATCCCCAACTTTGTAGCTGCCTTTTCCTTGCCTGTAAAACCGCACAGCTTCCAAGAACGCTTCAACCTCCACAGCGTCCCTCCTCTGTAAAACTGAATCCCAAACACCAGTTAATCTCAGTATTGTCTAGCTCAAATCAGTTAGAAAAAACGTGATAAACTTTGTGCATTCAGATCTAGCTATGTATTAAAAAAACGTGTCTGAAACCTTGGAGCTTCCATCAGCACCTAGCGCTTACTTGTTCAGAAACCCAGTATTCAGAGGTCTCTAACGTTTCATTTTATTCATAGATAAACCTTCAGCAAAAGGACTTCACTGTGTTTTTGATGATCCTCGTGTCACTAGAACTCCTCTCTCTGCACCTGAGGCAACATCTGCAAATGGGGCAGATGCTGCTACTTCCAGGTGTTACCTGTACTGCAATATCGGATCCCATCTTGAAGGGCAGATTTCCAGGTATGCTGGGATTCCACAGAGTCTGTGCAAAGACAAAGATGCTTTCGGAGCGGGTGGTAGAGGAAGAGCAGAAACTCTGTTGGTGGGTCAGTTAAAGCATCTCGGTCTTCATGGGAGTAATCACCTTGAAAAGCACCAAAATAGGTACAAACAGTGACTGTTTGAATTGACTGTTTCTAGAAATAACGTGATGTTCCCCATAACTCTTAGTGGCCCTAGTATTTCTTACTGAAGGCTGCCACTTTAGTGCCAAGAGGAAATCCTGTCTTCTGCAAGTGACCTGAGACATGCTGAGCTAAGGAAGTTAGAGAGGGAATCATAAATGATTAGTACTAGTCAGGATTTGGCCCATAAGTTGTGGCTGAAAAAGTACTGCGCAGAAGCTGAATGCAGTAAAGTTCAGCCAAAGAGTTGCACAGCTGCTTTAAAGCAAGTCCTTTTTTTTTTTTTTATTTAGTTAGCATCTTCTAGAAAATATGTCAAAACTATACATGGCCAAGATTGCTCCCGTACAGCAAGCATTAACACAATCTGTTCTGTTCTGAAAGCGCCTGTTAAAGTCTTACTTCCTTTCCTAACAGCTCTTTCCAGACTGGAAATATTCCTTTGCTGTTAGCAATTTTCAGTGTGGACTCTTTATAATAATAATAATAAAAAAAGCTTTCAGCAATTAACATATTGCTATAACTGCATGCAACTTTAAGGAGTACATTGGCAGTTTCTTTTCAGAGCTGATAGTTTCCCCTGAAAAGAGAACAGAAGAAGTTGTCTTAAGTTCCTTTCATTGGCAACATCTCTCTGCAGCTGCGTCTAATTTCATAACACTTCCTTATAAAAACCTTGTTTCTTCCTCTGGCCAAACAAAGCCCTGTGGCCTGCCAACGGTGCTAAATACAGGCATTTTCTACAGAGAAAAAAAAGTAGACAGAAAATAACTTGGAAGGCGGCGGCGGATATAAACAGGGAGATCCTGAAAACACAGCGTTTGACCCTCATCAACATAACGTTTCATTTACATTGCGATTTCTAGCTCTAAGCAGCGCAGAAGCCGCAGAAGCCTTGAGGCCCCTGTTCATGTATAACAAGACTCTCCCACATGTGGGATACTTTCTTTTTTTTTAGCTGAAGGAATCGCAACATCCTCTAGTCAGACAGTATCCATTGGTCAGATACATAGCCCTTCCTATGGAGAACTGGTATTACTTTCTCATGTAATGCTGAGACACACAAGCAGGACTGCAGCTCTCTCTGAGTCACACATACATGTCTCCAGCAGGAAACATCACAGACTTACCTACAAATCCCTGGCAGAGATCGTTAACCAGTGTGGTGTACTCCCTCTGTGTGGTCACCAGCAAGTACCCAGTCAGAGTAGTGGATTCTCTGGGCTCACAGCCCTTCCCCCAGGCCTGATAAAGCAAACAAATGAGCCTTCAGCGAGGGTTCGAGGACAAAATTCTTCCCACAGACTGTGATATTAGGTTTTTGGGGCCTGCGTGACAATTGCAAACTACTTGAGGACAGAAGGAGCACATCTACCTCTTTACTATCAAAGCACTCCAGCCTGCAATCTCCCAACAGGATGAAATAATTTTCCTTCCACTTGTGGGAGTCCTCATGATACTGGGTCAGGAATCCCTCATGTAGAAGACTGTTAGGTGGCTTCCAGACCTGGGAACACACAAGGCAGGAAAAAACAGTGAAAGTGCAGATTTTTGGGAGAGGTATTAAGCTGCTCTTGGTTGTGCAGCACCCAGCACAATGTCTCCCAGACCTGAACATAAACTACGGCAGCCGTTACTACAATTATTATCGTTATCATTAATGAAGCAACTGAACAAGGACATCTAGTGGCAGGACAACAAAGCTTACAACATGGAAACCAGCAGCTTCTATCCCCATGCTGTGGTCATTGAGGCTCATATCCTCACACTTGACTCATGAGGCAGCACATACAAATACATGCCAGAGATTAATGACACTGCAGTCCTTACAGTACTGAAAGATGCTAGAAAGTAAAGGAGCACCCAGGGAGAAGCCAGCAGTTCAAGTGACTCTAGCAGAAAAAAATCCTTCTGCAGTGTAATAGGATAGTACCTCTCTGTGATTTCTCTTTTCCCACATTTGGCTCCCACAAGTCAGTGAGAGGGGGGTGTGCGGAGGGAACATACAGGTACAAACTGCCCTTCTCAGCATGTACACCCGTATGTACAAGCTGTGCATATGGCTCAGCCATTACAATGGATCTTAAGATGCCTTTGAACACTCAGTGCCAGGGTATAAAAGACAAAGCAGCCCTTCCTGTTCAAATCAGTAATCCAGACCCCAATAGCCAATTACACGGTAAAGATGCAAAGGACAAGAAAGCAGCCACTGTAGGATTCATCTTATAGCAACTGCTAAAAGGACAGAAATTTCCAGGGGAACACAGCTATGCCCAAGACATCAATGCCTTGTAATCATGTTTGCAAGGTACTTACTTGACTCTGCAGCAGCTGCAGAGTGGGTTTGCTTTGCGTGTCCAGCTCCCTCGAGATCTCTCGCAGAACAGTGGCTGCAAGCTGTCGTTGGTAATAGGGCATGAAGTTCTTCACCATGGCATCTGTGCAACCTGGGAGTGAAGAATAGGGATAGCCAAGTTCTCTAAGCACTTGCTCTCCCAAAGGAGGAGACGCAGGCATCTGTGTCTAATTAACATTGTTCCCCTCATCCAAAAATAGCTTTAGAATTACTAACATAGACCCCAGGGACAGAGGCTGCCAAATTCAGATGCAGAAACACAAGTCCTCAAGCACTCCAGTGTAAGGGTGCCAATCTAGGCCAATGCTGGCTGCACCACAGGACCGTAGGACTGCTGCAAAGCTACAGCCAGAATCTGAGAGGGAAGCAACATGCCTGAGAGGGGGGATTGAAACAGTGCACACAGAGCCAATGCTGGGAACCCTCTGCTTGTGTAGGTGAAAGCAATAGTAGAGAGAAGGCCTGGCAAACACTAGGACAGAGCCCACTCTGGGGGTTGCTTGCTGTGGCTGAGGAAGGAACAGCTCCCATTACTGAAGCAAGTCACATCGGCATATCAGTCTGACCAAACTCAGTAGCTCTGCTGAGAAGAACAAGGGCTAATTAGCCAGCAACAGTATTGACTGCCTCTGAGGCTCGAGGGAGCTCTTTCAGAGCTGCGTCAGATCGTTCTGCACTGTGCTCCATTAGGCCACACAGCATACATAGAAGCCAGGGACCCCCGGTCTCCAAGTCTTGTTGTAGTCCCCGGACCACATTCCCAAATAGCCTGCATTTGCACAACATGAGAGGCAAATTCAGTCGGTGCAGCATGTGAAAAATGTCTAAGCGAAACATGAAGGAGGGGAGTCTGAATGTCAAAGGGTCTGATGCTATTAAAAGATAAAAGATCCCTGTATGCCACTGCTTCTCCAAATAAATTCTTTCTCCTGACTAGAAAGCGATGAGAACAAGGGAACGATTTCAGTAACAGCTGCCGAGCTATCGAAATGTCATGCCAGGATTCCTCTGTGAGCTCAGACGAAGCTGACAATGCAGCCACAGAACGGAGCTCTGAAGGTTTCCTGTGGTACGTTCTCTACCCCACTCCCTTTAGTCTGGAGACTCATGAAGAGGCAGAGAAAAATGTGGCTCAAACACAATGAGTGGGGGGAAGTGACAAGCATCTAAAAACAAGGCATTTCCCAGCTCTCTCACACAGGGCCATTCACAGGGAGACAACCAGAGAACGGCTGGTCTTTTTTTTTTTTTCCACCAATGTTTGCCTGAGTAGCTCAAAGTCTTTGAACCACAGACTGTCTTACTATGGAAGAGAGCAGTAATCAAAGCCTAAATTTGGTTTCATGTCTCCATCAGCCCAAATATGAGTTCAGAGCCAGCACTGGCAGCTCTCCAGCCATGCACAGCAAGGTTTGAGCTGTGCTCCTATTGACCACTGCAAAATCTGCCAGCTACTGGAAAGGCAGGCAATGCAGCAAGCAATTGCACTACCTTCTGTATGGAGTCTTGGACAGAGCACTGAGGCTGCTTACATGGATGCGACATACTGTGGGATCTGTGGCACAGGCAATGTCATCAACAGATTTCAAAATCTTTTTTGCTACAGACACTCTACCAAGCAGCTGTTAAGCAACTTTGGCAATGGTGACTTCATCTGTGATACCAGTAGGCTTGATTCTCCATCACCTGGCCCTGTTGTTTGTCCCTTTGCAGAGTGACTGCAAAATACCACCAGATCAGAACAGTTGTGTGTTACATAACCACTTTGCACAGGTGCACAATGCAAGGTGCCAGGTGAGGGAAAGTCAGGTCCAAGGCATCTAATTGATGCAAGCGAGTGAAACCTACCCCCACTTCCAAGCCCTGGGGGTTGACAGCAATAGTCAGGAGAGAAGAACTTGAGACCAGTGTACCGAGGCCCAAAAAATGAACCTAGACACGGTGCTTTGCACTGAGAAGTGGGTGCTCAGGAGCCACACTTGAGGGTCTGGGAGGTTATTAAGGAAAATACTCAAAGGTTTTTACATCCCTTACAAGACAAAGCCATTGCAACAATCGCACAGAAAAATAAGTACTCAAGACTGGATCTTTACCTCACTCCCTTCTGCTCTTCCCACTCCCACCTATGTAACTTTTGGAAAGGACACTCCCCATTTCTTAAACTTCTGGTCCCATTCACCACTTCCCATGAGATAACAATGCAAGACCAGAAGTCTTGCCAAGGTTCAGTGCAGCTTGCTTGTGACAGCTCACCAGTGTACCGGCTCATTTCCTACAGTGTTAAGTGGAATCCTAATAAAAACTTAAGGACAGCCAAATCCACTCTTACAATGCTCTCCCACTTGTCCTAGATCCCCTGTACATGTATAGCCAGCAATATAACAATTTTTAAAGGGTTTTCACTGCAGTCTCTCTGGTCCTGAGCTTAACAGTGCCTGTTGATTTGCAAATGCACTCCTTCAACAAATACAGACTAATTAAGTCAGGGACCCAAGAGGACAGGCAGTCAATCCACTGTGAAACAAGGGCACCTTATCTTCTTATGCTACCTGCTCCAAGTGCTTTTACCATTTTACTTATTTAACTTCGACAGGCCTCTGCTGTCTGGTTCCAAGTTAGGCAAGTAACCTATACGTCCTGTTTCCTCTGTGGTGCCAACTGGTAAATGAGAGGTTTATGGTGGTCAATGGCAACATGAGATAAACTGTAGCTGACTAACAATAGAAGCAGCAACACACAGGTCCCACAGGATACCGAGTCCCAAACCTGTGCTGAAGCTCTTATCTTCCAGGTGCTCAGGCTGGCTCACTGGTGAACAGTTTCTTGTATACACTTTGGAGCCCTGATTGATAAAGTGCTAATGAAATGCAAATTAGCATCATTATAAAATATACCATATAAATAAGACATTTCCAATTAGCTGGAATACACACCATAAAACAATCTTCAGCAGGAAAGGGCTGCAGGACAACAGGGGGACGCAATTAAATTAAACTTTAGTAGTTATCTTCACTACAAATGGAATACTTGTCTTGATTACCAAGATTTTGATAGTTCTATAGTGAAGATGACTTAAAAAAATAGATCATCTCAGCTAGCTGCTCAAACAAATTCTCCTGCTGTCCAGGTGAGCAGAGGCCAGGATGGGAACTTAAGTAGTCAAGCAAATACTGTATGAATTACTAACCTGCAATCCATAGCTGGAGTGATGCAGACAGATGTTTGCACTTTATAACAGCTGGATGTAAACATGAGTATTAGTACTTGAAAGGCAGCCAGGCTTTAACCTCTGAGTCCTATCTGGCATCAGGTAGTCATCAGCTGAATTATGTAATTAAACACATAAACTTTGATGCTGAAAACAGTAACAAGTAAAGGCCACTCCTTACCTCTCAAGTACCTGCGCTGCTTTCCATCTAGTGGTCTGGAATACCTCCCTCCCATCTTCCACGCTGTAATCCTGCCTGTTTCCTAAGCTTCCTGTCCAATGTCCTAAGCAGAAAGAAGCTGCCCCACAGAGCAATTTGTTAGGCTCTGCAGCAGGGATTGCCCCTTTCTGTCATACTCTTCTCCAGATTTTCCGCTCATAAATATTCAAATGTTTCTTTCAGAGCAGCCCCTACACCCACACCCCTACACACAAGCAGGTCTTAAAGAGACAGCAGCACTGCAGGCCCCACACCCATATCTTAGACACAAATGTTAAGAAAAGGTTTAAGCCACTTAGAGGATTGTTGTGTTGTTGTTAATCCTGAGGGTGTGTGTGTGGTCATGGCTGATATAACTATGTCAATAGCTCTATTCATTATTAAATAGAGTGGAACAACTTTGCCATAATCTTGGGCACAATGGAACTTTACACTGAAGAATAAAAATACCAAATTGTTTCAATATACTGCAAGGTGCAAATAGCAATTTCTCACCTAGAAAGAGTTCTGCTTACAGCAACCTCACCTGTGCAGAGGAAGGAAAAAAGGATTTCTTTTCACCAAGTCCCACTGCACTAGAGTTGGAATTTATGGTGGCTGGGGACATGCAGACTAGAAAGTCACTGGGTGTGACGTAATCTGCTCCAAGAGTTTAATCACAGGTGCCCAAAGCTTACTTACAACTCCCTCTTGCTCCCTCCACAATTCTGACCACCAGCAGTGCAGGACATCCCACAATGAATTAAAGGAATCTCTCCACAAGAATTGAAAGCCAGAGATAATTTCATTTGCAAACCAAGCAACAGTGACCAAATCTAGCAGTGTTTGACGTTAGGATGTTTTTGAAGCATTTCAGAACTTGAAAGCAGAGTTTATATTAAGGACAGTTTCTTATGGAAACAATGTATACAGGTCATTGCCTTGCACCTGTTTTCAGTTCTCAGTTCCTTTACAGAGTTTCTGCTTCTCTGGATTAAATTGAACTACATGATCTTCTACTTTTAATGATGTGCATCAGGCAGTTTCCAATGACCAAATGACCTCACCCCAGGATATGTAGAAAGAGGAAATGCTCTGCTCTTTCTGAGCTAGAGCATTCATCAGTTGAAAAGCCAAACAGAACTCTACTGAGAAGCAACAGACCTGAAAACTACATAAATGAAATACAAAAAGCTTATGGGAAAATGGCCTCAGAATCACCAAGAGACAAACCAGGACTATACAGCAAAAGTGAAGAAGAGTTGGCAGTGTCCTGTAAAACAACACTCAATATAAGGAGTAAAACTAATCAGACATGCTGCTTTGCTCCATTTGAGGAATTATTTCCAGACCCTTTTACTGCTCATGTAACTCAAAACCTATTTAAATCACCTGCCTGTGAGAGTTGCGAGTCAGGATAAGCATCTGTCAGATGTCTGAAGGAACATGTTATCAGCCACCAGTTGTATGCAGAATTCGCACCGAGCATGTGTGCATTTTGCTAGTTTCTTTGTTTTCACATTCCAGAACAGAGAGCTCTAGAATTAGGCAGGAATAAGCATGATGCCATTTTCTTTTATTATGATTTACAGAACGAATTCCAAACCCCAACCAGAATTTGGGTCTTGTTTTGCACTTTCAAGAAAGGTGAAACAGGCAGTTGCATCCTTTCTGGGGAGTGTCCTTTAAGAAACATTAAGAGTTTCTGAAAAGGAAGAGTGCTTCTAATTGCCTAATCTCAGGAGATGCTGTGTACCTTTCACTCCAATGTAAGTCAATAGGAGTGGAATGCACTCAGGGCCTCACAGATTAAGTTAAACAAGATCAAGGCAACAATTGGAACAGTAATGCAGAAAAGGGAGGTTGCAGAGCCTATGAGTGAGAAGCAATAGAAAGGGGCCCTCAGAAGATGCAATTTTTGAGGACAAAATAGGGCATTCAGTAAATGGAAGGGCTAGTTCAGGTGCAAGGGGAAGCACACAATAAACCCCCAGCAAGTGAGAGAAAGATGAATGTGACACAAAAGCAAGAGGACTGATAACAAATGCAGAAAGCATAAACACATACACAACAGTCTTCTAAGTCTCCCAACTCCAGCTTTTACTCAGCCAGATTAGGAAGAAAGTGCAGGTGCATTTCTGCCTGGCAGTGTGTTACTAAATCTGTTTCCTGTTTCTGCACACAGACTGCAGCTGCCCCAACAGTCAGGAGATTCTGAGACAAGGAGCAGCAAGAACCACAGATGTCAGTGTGCCAGAGTCTATCTGCATCTCTGTACAGCTGGTTTTAATGATAAGCTGACAGAAGGGTGAAGAGAAGAGCTCACAAACCAGCCTTCCTTTGCCCAATCCTACTGGAATTTATGAACTAGGAGATGAATGCAGCAGAATCCAATGGTGTTGGGAAGAATCCCAGACCAAGAAAGAAAATACTGTTGGGGAAGTGGCAGAAGTTATACAATGCTGACTGTTAAAAAGAGAGGGGATTTGATCCATGGAGGATGAGCAAAGTCTTGTCTGGACCAGTCCCTTAGGAAGACCCTCTTTTGGATCTATTCAGATAAAAGGAAAGGGATAGACCCACAAAAAGCACAAGTCCTGGGTCAAAGACCTGGTTTCAATCCTTCCTGTTTGCCCAAATTTCTGTCCAGCTTTTGCACATCTTTTCTATAATATGTGACCTTCAATTTACAGCTCAGAAACAGGAGTTTGGATTCCTGAGTTTTATTCCCAGTTTGCCACAGATTTGCTCTGATTCCTTGTATAAATAAATATTTCACCACCCTCTACTCAGTTTGTTCACCAGTAAATTGGGAATAACATTTACCACAACTCCAAGGAGTTTGCTGCATTTCCAAACAAACCTCCCATCACCCAGACATCTATAGTACTTTCCCCTGAAGGAGCATTAAAAGCCCCAGAATCAACAACTTCCCAAATCCCAAGACTGCTCCTTCACAAGAATAAGGGCTGAAAGCTCATGCCTAGAGCTGCTAATTAAGTGAAGCTGCTACCCAAAGATAGAGCAAGCAAGAGCCAAATGGCTGAAATTTACATCTTTAATATTGTGCATTCACTTTACACCACATGAACCGTTCACAAGACAGACTGCACCACACTATCCTCCTCCACGATCCCAAGCGTTTCCAGTTGCAGCTAGAGATCAAACATAAGCACCCTATATCTTCCCTCCCCAACCAAAGAGATTATACAGTGCTCCACAAAGTACCACTTGCTTAAAAAGAGAAACAAAAAAGACAACATTAGTTTAGTGCCACTCCCAAGTACTATGACCAGATGTGGAGTCCTTGACTTGGAATGTTACAGAGCCAGCTCTTTGAAGGTCTTGCAGTCAGTGCTACTGGATCCCGATCCTGAAACCCAGCCGAACGTTTGGTTCTACAAGATAGAGTGCTTCTCGAAGGGAACAGTCAGCTCCTTGGCTGCAGACTCATCCAGAAACCAGTGCAGCTTCCCGGTATGAGGCTGGACAAGAGCAGCAGGGAGAGGGTTCACCTCATCACCTTCCAAAATTCGCTGTCCAAAGAAACAGAATATTATCTTAATCAGTTCTATTAATGCACGGGAAACCACACAATGAGACGATCAATGCGATTTTCATAAAAACCAAGCAGACATTATAGGGCTGGCTAAAAAAATTCAAGCCTTTTATTCCTCCAATGGAAGATGCCTTTTTGACTAACTTGAAGATTTTGGTAAAGATTTGGGGCTTTTCATTTTAAAAAAGAACCACAACTTTTCATTTTGAAAGCTTACCTTTAAGATGGCAGCTTTACTCTCCCCTGTAGCAACAAAAACCACAGTCCGTGCAGCGTTCAGAACAGGCAGAGTTAGTGTTATCCGTTCAGGCGGTGGCTTTGGAGAATCACTAATAGGGGCAACTATCTTGTCTTTCTCCTGCCAGGAAAAACAAAAGTAAAACATGAAAATCTGTCAGAATGGTACAGAGGGAGGGGTCAAGCTAAATGACAGCCTGTATGAGACTAAAGATCAGTACTAGGCCTCAGCTCCAGATTCCCACAAATTAGTACTAAAAACCTTCACCCAGATGTGAGCTAGACTCCATACAGACAGATCCCTGTGGCTTCAGTGAGGCTCCACAGGGGCACAGAGCACCAGCAAGGATCACAATGCAGGAGCAGACTTAAGGGGACAATGCCTGTGAGAAGAGTCAGATTCCAGCAGCCTTCCTTCCCTTCCCTCTTTCCTTTCAAAATATCATCTTTGCAGCTGTTCATCCCACTGCCAAGCTCTTCAGAAGCTTGGAACAACCACATGCATGTACACATAAATCTATCAACCACAAAGTTTAAAACTATGGCAAACAAATCATGTCTCACCGGACTCATTAGTAAAATGTATCATTGATATCCTACTATACAGTACACCCTTTCTAGCTCTAAAAATCTCACCTGTAGAAGTGGATGGTCTGGGAACAGAGAGCAGGTATGACCATCTGGCCCTACTCCCAAAATCAGCAAATCAAAGACAGGCATATTCTCACCTTGAAAGGCCTGCAGAAAGGAACACAAACCCAGAACAATTAAATTGAACAAAGAGTAAACCAGGGCACTGAGCAGAAAAAAAGCCTAAATCACACCTGAGTCTGGGCTGTTCAACTGGTTCACTATACCTTGAAGAGCTGATTCTTAGGATCCCAAGATACCTTTATCAGTTTCTTTTGGCAGCTCAATAATTTGGTCCATTTAAGAGCAGTTCTGTTAAACCCAATTGTTTTAAAGCATAAAGCTCTCTACAGAGTCTTCTGGGGAAATTATTAACAAAGTCATATGGGAGAAAAAGAGGCTATTGTAGAAAAAACAGATTTAGGAGAAAAGGACTAAATTTAAGGCCAAATTTAAGATTCTATTTTAAATGCATTTATTTATTTTTTTACAGAATTACATTATTAAGCATCTTATTTTTTAAAACACTTTAGCATAACATGCTTCCATCTGTGGGGAGAGAGATTTCATGACAATATTTCTAATTCAGACACTGAAGCTTCAAACTAGAACCTAAAACTTAAGTAAATTTAATTCAATTCTCCTAACTGACTAAAAAGCCACAAGAGTGCAAATGGTATTTGCAGCCAAAAATAAATTAACGTCTAGCATCATTAGTGGCAACACAGCTACGCAAATACGGGTTCTAATTTATGACTTTTAAGAACACAGTGACTGATTACCTCGGATTTGATAGAGTGACACACAAAACAATATTACTGCACCTCTTTTAACTTTGCAGCATAGTCTGAAGCAGCCTCTTCAACAGGTAATGAAGAGTTAATGGTAATCACTTGGTTTTCTGGGATGGAAATCTTGGAGAGGAGATGAGTCTAAAACAACAATCCAGTCCCACAAAATTACAACCAGGAACAAAGCCATACTGTTTGATGCAAGAGCCTTTTTCCTTCCCACCAATCAAGAAAACTACCAGGCATTTCTTTCCAAGCTCTTGTACAGGGGACAACATCTGCAAGAGCTAGAGACTGTAACTGTGCTGCTAACTCAGTGTTACTGGATTCAGGAGCTTTGTGATATGTGGCACTTGCAAACCTACTTGGACTTTGTTAAGCAGGAAGAAGCAGATTTGGTATGGCAGATACTGCACATTAGAGCTCTCCCCCAGCCATGTTCCTGCTCCCCTGTGTGGCCAGAGGCTAGGCATTTTCTCCCTGCCTCAGTTTCTCTTTCTGTCAGGCTGGGAGCACCCTGCTGGCTGCTTGGCGAACTAATCCAGCTGCACACGCTGCAGGGACTGCTGCTCGGGACAAGGCTGCGATCATCAGTCACAGAGAAGGCAGGGCAGAGCCGTGCCTACAGACCAGCTGAATTTGACACGGGTGGGTGCAGTACAGACATTCATTTTTACTGGTATAAGTGATCAGAAACCAGTCTGCCTGTACCTGTAACAGAACAGACATCTGGGGCGCACAGGCTAGTATAAATAGGTAGAACTAAGCTAAGGTTTGCCCCCTCCACCAAAGGGGGTGACGCGTGACCTGTGTGAGCCGATGTGAACTACGCTGCTCACAGAAGACAGCGTGGCTGAGATCAATCCCGCCTAGGGCTCTTTGAACTTCTGAGCCCACCCCAGAGAGCTCGAGCTTTGCAAATGCAGGATCACTCCGCTGGGCACCCGGGAAGTCCTGCTCGGGAAGCACTTGAGGAAGGGGCCACAGGTCACCAAACCCCAGCCCTCTGCTCGCAGATCTCGCTCCCTGAGATTGGGGATGGATGTTTAAGAAACCGATTTCAACTCCATCAGTTCAGTCCAATACAACACCCATCCAGGTGGATCTGAAAGCGGCTTGGGCCATTCTGAGAGCAGTTTGCATGCAGGGAGCTTCTGCACTGTTACAGATTTGAACCGGTTTCTGATTGCTTATACCGGGTTACCTGTAACTTCTGTCCCCCCCGTCCCCGGTAGCTCCTTCCCCAGCAAAGGCCCGGT